GGGGTTTTGCGGTGGCACACCACCCAGCCAGCAGGTTCAACCAGCCCCTCACCATCCCACCTGGGTACCCCAAATCCTCATCATCCCCATATCCACCCACGTGCTGCCGCAGCTGGGCACAGCAGGGCCAGGAGCAGCAGCTCGGTTGACCAGGAGCGGGGTGAGCTCTGGGCTGCGGTCCCCACACAAGGCTCCGCTGGCAACTGGTGGGAGCAGCTACCCGCTGCTGGGAGCTGCTGGACTGACATTTATTTTTAGACGTGAATTGTATAAATTAGCATTTCTCAGTGGATTAAGCAGCAGGAATTGTGTAAAATTAAATGGCAACGAATTGCATTAAAGTCCCCCGTTTTCTGGCACAAGCAATGCCTCGAGCCGTGCCCAGGCGGCTCATGTGTAACAACGCCAGAGCTGCTGCTGCCGCTGCTCCGGACAGGAGCACAACCAACCCACGGCATCTCTGCACCCACCCGGGACGCAGACCTGGGGGGACACAAGCACAGTGGCAAGGCTGTCAGGACGGGGGCCTCCGGACGGGCTGTGAGTCCCTGGGGAGGTGGCTCAGGGGCTGGGCTGGGGCTGTGGGACACGGATTCGGTGAGCAGAGCGTGGTGACCCAGATGGGCACGGCTGGGCTTGGCCGAGCAGCTCACAGGCATGGGATCAGCACGGGATGTCCTGGGCATCGACATTCCAGTCTCAGCCCAGCCTGGGCACGGCAAGACACCCACCACAGCCACAGCCATGCCACCCACCAGTGGGAATGATGCTGTGCTGGGACTTGTCCAGCACTACCTGGCCCCAGAGCCTCTCCATGCCCTGGTCAGGGCAGGTTCTGCAGCACCTGGAGCCCACTGAGGGGCTGGGGGTTCCTGGTGAGCCCCTCGAACCTTGGGGCACACTCAGCCCTGCAGAGGAGGAGAGGGAAACTGGGGCGAGCGAACACCGGGGGCTGAGCAGGCACCAGACAGGGCAGGGCAGGTGAGGAGCAACGAGTCCAGCTTTTTTTTTTTTTTGCCAGGCATAAAAATACGCTGAAAATGTGACATTAAGTACAGTTCTGGTGGAAAGGTCAGAGAGAGTCCCCGCATCTGAAGCAGCATGGGTTGCAGGGGGCATGGGGGCAGAGCCTTGCTGGGAGGAGGCAGAGGTGACAGCCTGCTGCTCCCTGCCCACCCCACAGCCCCAGCTGGCATCTCTTGGGGTGCACATGGGGTTCAGCTGAGGACGCTCCCCCTGTCTCGGCACAGGGGTTCACCCTCCCTGGGCTCTACATGGGGTGCCGGGGAGACCCCCCACACCAGCCACGTCCTGGGCAGGTGGGAGGCCCTGCCTGGAGAGCTGAGGCTGATGCCAGCTCCGAGAAGTGCTGCCAGCTCTCGGCAACCTCCCCACTTCCCCCCCCCCCACCTCCAGCCCTGGCAGGACTGGCTTCGGCAGCCACAGATCAGAAACAAAAGGCTTTTGACAGGGAAGGCGGTTTTGAGAAAGGCACCGGGCTCCCACCCGGCCATGAGCGGAGCCTCCTGCCGCAGCCGCTGCCGGCGAGCAGGCGGGATGCTGCTGCCAGCCGGGGGGTGACCACCTCCACACACCTCCTCCTGCAGCCCCCAGGCCCCCACACACCCCAGCTGCCTGTCCCCCCGTCCCCAAAGCACCGCCGGGAGGGCTCTCCCTTCCCACGGTGCCCACCTACACGGCCGGTGCCGGCCTCAGGCTGTGGCCGTAACGGGGTGCCAGGCACGGGGGCGAGGGTGGGGGCCAGCCACCTGCCACAGCTGAGCCCCAGCCCCGTGGGGGACGCTTCCCAACCTCCCGCTTAATGGCACGTAAAGAGCGCTATTGATTTCCCGCGCCGGCGCCGCACGCTTCGCACCCTGGGCACCGCAGCTGTGCTCGCCCAGCCGGCACCGCTCCGCACCCACCGCCCTCCCCGAGACACCGGGGGGGAAACCGGGCAGCAGCAGGGGCAGCCCAGACCCACATCCCCCCCGGAGTGGAGTGGGGTTCGAGGGGGCTGGAGAGTGTTGGCACGGATTGGTGTGGGGGGGGTGATGATGGTGGAAAAGGCTCCGGCACAGCCCCCCAGCAGCCGGTGCAGGGGGCACGTTTGCCAGCGGGGCTGCAGGGGAGCCTTGCTGCAGCTTGGGGCTGTCCCTGCCGCCCCGTGGAGATTTACAGCCCAGCCGGGCTTTATTACACGGAAGATGCTTACGCTGGGGATTTTTTTTTATTTTTTTTTTTTCCCCCCATAGTTTCTTAATTTGCTATCCCATAAAGAATGTGGATTTGTGACGTTAAATAGGGGAAGATCGTTTACCACTCGCAGCTCTTACTTAAAGGATCCGCACGGGTTATTTATCGCCTGAGCACAAGCTGCAAGCGGCAGCGCGAGGGGACATGCTCCAGCCTGGGTGCTGCTCCTGCTCCCCAGCAGGCAGCCGGCCGGCCACAGCCCCACGGCTTGGCCACCCTCCTGCTCTAAAACTTCATCCAGCCTCTGGGTGAAGTCCACCTTGTGCCCAGAGGGAAGGAAGGACTCCAGCGCTCCCGCAAGAAGGGCTGCGGGAGAAAGCTCCTTCCCTTCTCTGGCATCCCTGGGGATGTGACCTCTGCTCCAGGGGCTCTGCTCACCGTGGGCTGAGCGCCCGAGCACCCCAGGCCGTTTGCCCCACTGGGATGTGCCGCAGTCTGGGAGCCCTCCATCACCGCTGGGACATGCCGTGACTCACGTATCCGCCCACTGCAGCGGGGGGTACAACAGCTTTCCGAACACAAAGGCACACATGGGGACCCAGGGCTGGGACTGATGAAGCCTGGAGCTCCCTGACACACGGCAGCCTGGGTGTCCCTGTGTTGGGGCCACAGCTGGGAGGCACAGGAGCACCCAAGCCCACACATGGCAGCTGGGACTCACCCTGCCTGCCAAGCAGCTCGCGCTGTGTTTCAGTCACTCCCAAGAGGCATGAGGGACCGATTCGGCTCAGGGAACGGGAGTAGGAGGCTCCAGCTGCAAACAGCGTGATGCCTCGACAGGTCCCACTGCTGCCTGGTAAGGCTCTGGGACACGGTATGTGGCAGAAAGAGGTCACACCTTCCCCTGTCCCTCCCCGTGCCCTGCAGCCTCTCCTGTCCCAGGTTCACCCTTTTGCTCCAGGCAAGTGAGAGGTGATGGGGACACCCCTTTCTGCTGACAGAAGGCTGGGCTGGAGGGCTGAGGTGGGGACAGGGGGATGGAGGCTGCGGGAGCCCTGGGCTCCCCTTCTTTGGGTCATGGGCTGGGGGGTCGGGCGGCACTAACCATCCTCATGCCTGAAGCTGCTCCCGTGCACGGTGCTGGCACACCAGAGCCTGGCTGCCCGGGCATCCCCAGGGCAGACCTGTAAGCAGCTGAGGCAGGCAGGCCAGCTGGTCCTCCACGGCCACCCGCTGAGAAACCAGGTCCCGGTGACTGTCCTGGCTGTCACCCTCTGCTGCCACGCAGCACGGTGCATGCCACACACCATGTCCACGCTGTGGGAAGCTTGTACCCACCCCCAATCCACCGGAGCTCTGCCCTGCCAGCCTGGCAGCGCGGCTCAGCACACCCCCAATCCCATTGCCACGCTGTGCCTCTGCCTGGCCCAAGGCTGGGCTCATTGCCTCCCCCGCAAGCCAAAGCTGTGCAGGACCCTCCAGGAGGAACCCAGGGCTGGAGCCAGCGTGGCTGAGCCATGTGCAGGACTGTCCAGCACCAGAGCTCCCAGCCCTGCTGAACCTCACTTCTCCCCGGCAAACTCAGCCAGCTCACGTAGAACCGGCACAGAGCCCAGCAAAACACTGGGATGTGTGGGGCTACCCCACTCCGCTGCCCCCTGCTCCTCCCCACCCCACTGCAGCACCCCACATCACCCCCCCGCCCCAACACAGGGCATCCCTCCCAAAACAGCGCTTTCCCGGGGACAGCATCACCCTGCGCGGCGAGCAGGCGTTGTACCGATGGGCACGAAGTGAAACAGGACATGCTGCATCAGCCATTTCCAGCCCCACGGAGCCTCCTCTTCGCCCCCCCCCCAGCATCCCGCACAGCCCGTGGCATCGCATCACATCCCCCTCCCCGGCACGGAGCGGGCTCCGGCTGGCAGCACTGCTCCCGGGAGCGCAGCGAGCCAGCCGAGCAGTAGCCCCTGGCAGCCGTAGGAGAGAGGCGGCTCATTTCCAGAGTCATTACAGTCTGAAAAGGGTCCCATCAGGTATTCCGCCCGTTCAGCACATTTATTTTCCCAAACCACAGCGGGGATTTGTGATTCCAGGCTCAATATTAGCGAAAGCCGCACGCTGGCGGCGTCCGGCCGGGAGCTTGCTGCCTGGGCGAGGAGGCCCTGCTAGCCAGCCCCAGGCAGCGAGTGGGCAGCCCCGAGCAGCCCCCCGGCTCACCTGGCCGTAGCCATGTCCCCGGAGCGGAGCAGCTTGTGTGGGGGGTGTGTGTGTGTGCACGCACACATGTGCAATGCTGACAGCCTCCACATTCACACCTACCCCACTGCCAAACCTCCCACACGCAGGAGGGCTCCCCTATGTGCAAAGGGGTCTTTGTGTCTGTCCATGTCCCCCCTGCCCTCAGCCACCCACCAGCACCCAGAGACAGAGGACCTCAGCCCAGGGGAGGTGTGGGCTGGAGCGGGGCTCTACGCTGCAGCTCTCCCCCTGCCCGCTGCACACCCACCCCAGGGACCACTGAGCCCCGCTCTCCCCCAGCCACGGCTCCTGCTTGAAACCCCCCCGGCACGGAGCTGCTGGCAGCCCGATCCTGTGCTGCTCAGCCCTACCGAGAGCTCCCACGGAGGATTCTCTCTCTCTCTTTCTCCGTGTGAAACTTGGAGGGAAACTCAAACAGAGAGAGATGCAAACTTCAGCAGCCGGAGCGAGCCGGGGAGCCCCGCTCCGGCGAGGCGCGGCAGGGTGGGCGCCCCCCATGCCGGCTGGGGTCCCCGGGGAAGCCGAGCCCGGCGTGCACTCACCACAGTGAAATCACGGGAGGAGCAGTTCTCGCCGCTGAAGTTGCAGCTCTTGAGCATGTCGTCGAGCTGGTGGCCGGTGCGGTTGACGATGTCAGCCATGTCAGGGTCGGGGTAGAGCAGGTCCGTGGCCTTGTGGCCATCCCGGTCCTTGGGGGGTAGCCCGGTCATGTTGGCCAAGTGGAAGATGTCGGCGTCGGTGAGCGCCGAGTGACGGTAGCGGTTGATGTTGCAGATGGTGATGGCGGGGAAGACCATCTCGCGGATGGCCTCCTCGTCCAGGGCCATGACGTGGGGGTGCTCCAGGTAGAGCAGCGCCGACTTGGCTGCCTGGTAGAGGAAGAAGGCGAGCGAGGCCAGGAAGGCAAACGCCCAGAGGGTCTGGCGCACGCCCAGCCGCCCCGACCGGCAGATGTGTCCCAGGCCGTGCAGCGTGCTGGTGCTGGCGAAGGCGGCCAGGTCCCGGGAGCGGGGCCGGGCGGGCTCCTCGATCAGGCTCTCCTTATCCCCTTCTTCTTTCTCCTTCTGCTTCTCATCCTCCTCAGCAAATTTGATTTTACACACGATCTCAATCGGCATCTGCCCCGCGCGGCCGGCGTGCCCAGCCAGCGAGCTGCCCCCCGGCACGGGCACCGGCCGAGAGCCCGGCCAGGCGCTGGGAGGGGGCTCGGGTCCCCCCCAAGCCCCAGCACGGCGCCGGGAGGGCCGAGCCGTCTCGGGAGGGAAGCGCAGCCCCTCTCAGCAGCTCCGAGCCGCTGCTTCCCTCTTGTCTCACTAGTCGATCGTCTCCTTGTGCCTTCGCTTATCAGCACAAATACAGCTGTCAAAAACCCCTCTCTCTCCTCTCCCTCGCTCGCTCTCTCTGCCTCTCTCCTTCGCTCCTCTCTCGTTAAGACCCCAGCAGATACAGGCAGCATTTAGGCATCATGTGCTAATAAAATCCAGGGAATACTTAATAATTCAAGACATGTCAACATTATTTCATCGTCAAATAAAGAGCGAGCGCCGGAGAAAAAGAGGCAGTGTGAAGGGCCCGGTGCCTCCGGGGCAGGGAGCCGCGCTGTGTGCCCTTTCCCCAGCCCGGGCTCCGAAGTGCTGCCGGAGCCACTTGTTTGAATGGCTCGGGAGCTGCCGGAGCCGTGCCGTGCCGTGCCGTGCCGTGGGGAACGGAGCCGTGCCGAGGGGAGCGGAGCCGTGCCGTGCCGTGCGCTGCCGTTCCGCGCCGCTCCGTGCGATGCCGTGCCGAACCGAGCCGCGCCGCTCCGCGCCCTGCCGGGCGATAC